CGAGAAGTAATGATAATTCTGCTACCATTTCTTGAGTTGATGGGGATAACCTTTTTTAACGCATCCCAAGCTTCAGTTGTCCAAATATCATCAAGAAAAATTAAGCACCTTTTTTCATTGGGCAGAGAACGCAAGTTGACCTCCAAATTTTCATCCATCTTTTCCTTTTCAAGGCCAACTTGCTTTGCTATTTCATGTAGAAGCTCTTGGACTCTAGGCTCATTTGAGACATAGACTAAGGCAGAAGTAAAATCATTTTGCATTTCTTTATATATTTTTTTACCAACAGTAGTCTTGCCCGCACCTGCTTCCCCTACAATACATATCATTTTACAGTCCAAGTTTGAGCTCCTCAATTTTTCCTCAAGTTCCTTTAATGTATCTTTACGGCCGACAAATATTGACTCCGGGGCTGCTAAGGATTTTTTTCTTCGATCCCATACGACCATATCTGCATTACCTGTTTAATTTTATGTGATTCATATGTATAAGAAATTTTGATTTAATAATCATAACCTAAAAAGACATAATTATTTGGACAAAGAAAAGTAGCCACCTCTCTCTCTCTCTTCCCCCCTATAAAAGACCATGGAAGACTATCAAATTAAAAGTGCAATTTAAAGATCTTGATTTTTCATATTTATGTTTCTTTGCCCAAAAAATAAAAATAAAATAAATAAAAACATAGAATTTAATATATTCAGATTTATATTGATGTAAATGAATAAAATTAACATTACCTTCATTCCTATCAAGAGTAATAAGACATCTTTCTCTAGCGGCTTCAATATCTTGGGCCCGTCTCTTGATTCTTTCAATTTTCTGGGCAAAGTCATTGGCAGAGAAAACATAACATAATATACAAGCAGCAAGCTTAACGAATTGAAACAGCCCCTTTTTCTCGTGCAATGCAATCTCTTCAAGGTAATCGTCCAAAATATCCTCAATGTCCAGAGCAAGATCTCTAATGTCAATTATCAAGTTAGCAACTTCATGGCTTCCACCTTGCTTTGACTCGGCATCTTTGAGACACGATTTGAAGTGTCTCATTTGTCGTTCAATCCATTCCATGTTCTCCCTCAATCTATACAAGCGTGAAACTGTTTCGACAAATGATTTGGCGCCTATCTCTACTGATTTGTTAATCACTGCTGTAAGTGTTGCTGCCGCTGCCGCCTCCATCTAATCTTGTTTTCTTTCAAATGTAGTATGTGACATACAATGAATCAAATGAAACTCAAGATTGTATTTAGCAGTGTGAGATGAGAATGGAATGACTATCAATATATAAATATAGTACTCACTACTCAGTGACTGAGAATTTCACCAACTTTTGCAAGAATTCATTGCACGTGTCCCTACAAAAGCTTACAACTACCCACATATTAAATTTTGATTTTAGAATTATGTTTTTCCTAATTAACTAAATTTAGTAATTTCATCCTAATGGAAAACGTAAACATCGAGATAGAATTCAATTAAATAAATAGTCAGGAATCCAGATTTTATTCATTAATATTGTTTTAAAAATCGAACCGAGTATCGGCAATAAAAAGTTAAAGGGTCAAAGATGGAAAGGTTCAACCAAAGTCGAATCGAAATCGAACTAATTGTATAGAATTATTAAATACATCAATAATAAAACATTACAAATATAAGTTGAAGTTCAATATTGA